AGTCTACAGGGCAGTTGTTCTCACTACTCTCCTCTACACGTTTGAATCACGGACTGTCTACCAATGGCATGCCAAAAAAATTCAATTGCTTCTATCTCTGCTGTCTATGCAAACTCACAAACATCAAATGGTAAAACAAGGTCCCTGACACCGAGGTCCTAATCAGGTCTGGCATGTCCAGCATTCTCACCCTGCTGAGGAAGACACAAATCCATTGGGCCAGCTTGCCTCCCCAAATGTACCTTCTTCGATGAACTATAGATCAGAGCATGCTCCTGTGGTGGTCAAAAGAAGCAATACAAGGACACACTCAAGGTTGTGCTAAAGGACTTCAACATTGATTCTAATACCTGGGAAATACTTGCCCAAAACTGCCCAACCAGGAGGAGTGCTGTCACAAAGGGAGCAGCCACATATGAACAACATTGCATCTTGACAGCCGCCCAGAACAAGCATGCAGAACATAAAGCAGTAGGGAACTACTACCAGCCCCCCCCCCCAGACATTTTCAAGCCAGGATTAGGCTACTCAGTCACCTCCGCATGCACACAATCAATGGATGATGATGAAGATGGTCCTCTTCAATCAGGAAGGATGAACCAAAATATTTACTTTATTTCAGTGTTATTTTCCTTTTAACTAGTGATTCCTTGCTTACTTTAACGCTCTTGCTACTTGGATTAGTATTTTTCTTAAATCTACAACCATTTTGGCTTTTTCTGTGTTGTGTGTCACTACATGGAATATGAGTATTACTGCATTTTACTTTCTGATCCCTAGCCTCACTACTGTGCTTAGTAGTGCACATGTCAGGCATCTGACTTCTTAACTAAGTCAGCAATAAATCATCAAAAGCTTCTAACCTACCACATAATTCTGAAGTATGAATACCTTCAAAACATTAGACCTCCGTTTTTTGTGTAGATTATGTGGTAGTGGATATGTCAGTGTTGTATTTCTTAGGAAATCTTGCCCTCAGATACTGTCTGTTTCTAAATTTATCTCTTTACAGATATAAAAGAAATGTTCAAGCTGTAGATCTCAAACTTCTACTTGAACACAATATTTTCCTAATGTTTTGAGTGAATGCATTTTGAAACTTCTGTCCATGCATTATCTACAAAAGCTGAATTTTTCTGTAACAGCTCTGAACTTAACAGAGGAAATCTGGCTCCTATGTCATCTAATAACTGACATTCTGTGCCCTCTATCTTTAACTGTTGGAAAAATTTCATTAATGCTACATATATTAGACCTATCACTAGATACTGCTGGAACTACTAGTAGTTCTATTTCTTAATTCTGGATTGATATTTGTTTCTTGTTACTTCTGCTACACCTTGTTTTGCTTATTGACTTTACAAACTTCTTAACATGTTCAACCCTGTTGGATTAACAAGCTATCTGTCCCTGTAATTCACAGTAAAACATTCTGCTTGGTTACTTTATTATTTTTGCCCTTTTTTTCTTCTATTTGGCCACTTTTGTCTAATATTTCTTTTTAACTCTGATAGTTAATGTTGCTCAGGGAGTGTTTATTTCACTTACATTTTAATCCTAGTTTAAAGCTACTGTTACAGTAGATTTAATAGCCATTGTAAACAAGCCAGCCCCCTCCCTATTTAAATATAAATTATCTATTCCAAAAAGCCCCAATTTCCCATGTAACTGCTTGTACTTAAATATTACCCTAAGCCTAGCTTTCAACCTTAGTGACCTACTAATAATTTTTTCCTCACAATTAAGTCTCAGTGGTATCCCTGGCAAAATTAACACACTCAATGCTGCCTCAGAGATTATTGCCTATGCCATGGTTTTTTTTATTGTGATTAGGAGCATTTTGATGATGCAAAATAATATCAGATAGAATATTTATGGGTATATATGCTTATTCAACTAAAATCTGTACCATGATTGATACACATAAGCATCATAGACACTGCAGGTAAAAATATTTTATGAGTGCTGCATGATGCACAGGTGTGTTATCTATTTTTTATATCCTGTCACGATTTTGGAGTATGTTTTTTATGTAAAAGAGGGGTAAATTATAGTCATGGGAATATCACAACAAAGTCTTGATGGGACTTTGAATTCTTTTTTTTTATCATGGGCTTTGAAGGAGTACTATTTTTATCCATTTTTATAAAAGCAAAGCCAACAGAAAAAAACAACAGAATATATATATATATATGAAATAAAAACTACAACCAAGCAAAACTTTATACAAGAGCAGAACTGCCTTCTAACACGTGCCAACTCAAATAGAATGCATTTGCCTCAATATTTTTGTGGATGCACATGTGTGTGTCCAGTGGCAGTGAAAGGTGCTAACCTGTTAAGATCCTTTATCCTAACTGCCTTTATCAATTTCTTGTACTAATCATTTAACTCCTCTGACCTACCCTTCCCTGAATCATTAATCTATACATGGACTACAAAGATAACATCACTGCAAGCACCCTTTACTATCTCACTTGCTTTACAGTTACATTCTCCACCCCTCAACCAAAATAGCATAATATAATTCTCTTCTCCCAGTTTACTTCATAGACTATCCTATTTATATGCTGTACCAAAGAATCAACTAAATCTATAACTGCATACTTTCATTTTCATCCCTAGCTGTCCCTATTGTTTTCCTTCCCTTTTCTAGTTTCTCATCTGCACAAGCTCAAATCTTTAAGTGTGACTTAATGGAATCTGTTCATTACAGTTAAATCCACTACTTCTAGCCATACTAGAACTGTTTCTAACTTCCTGAAAGTCTTTATTAATTATTCTGTATCCCTTGCATGTAAAAGCTTAAGTTTTTCTTTAAATCCAGATGCCATTTTCTCACAGTTTATTATTTTCTTTATCAATTACATCAACTCTACTTAGGATAGCCTTCAGTTACTCCTTCATCCTGCAAACTTTATAAACAAGTTGCACATCTTCACTACTAGCTTTTTAAAATGTACATGCCAGTCCAAAGTTCCCAAATAAAACCCACTTCTTGCACCTATTGCACTCTACAAACTGTGTGTGCTTAACACCTACACTACTCTTAGCTACTTTAATTTGGAGATAAATAATCATAACTAAATACAAGTACTTTTGTAGCCTATTGACAACATTGTCAATCCTATAAAGTTTGAGAATTAAGTTTATTACACTGTTTTATCATGAACATGTTCACATCAAAGTAAATCTGTCTTTAAACTATAGAAGTGACAAGTAACTAGTTTTCAGATTCTATTTGATGTAATAATGTTGTGTATTCAGCCTGTTTAATAACTTAACAAAAGCTGAACTGCCAGTAAAATAGTTATATTACATTTGCTAAGCCTAATATAAAAGTTTATTCCTGCTAATACTATGTACTAAGTTTACTAAATATAATTATCATTTTGATATTGAGACAAATTGTTACAAATAAGAATATTCATCAGATACTTAACTTTAAGTTAGGTTCTTTGAATGTACATGTTGTTTGTATTAGGGTTTATACATAACATTCCCAAGGCTTCAGTTTTTACAATTTTCTTTGATAGAATATAAGTGGTATGATCACATGAAACAAGAAATTTAACTTAATCCATGTATTTAATGCAAGCAGAATAAATATTTTTAAAAATATAAAATGCAGGTAGTTTTATAGCATTTCAACTACTTGATGTTCATTGTACACCATTGCCATATTGGACCAGTACAGAATAATGGTATTCAAATCATTATTAGTCTTAATGTGATGTATTATCACCTTCACATACCTAATAAATGTCATGAAGTTTTTTACATTCTAAGACATCTTTCTCTTAAATGATTGATATAAATATGTTGCGTCAGCGAGTCACATGACTAGTGTGACGCCACGTTTCTAGAACTACCCCGTACCTTG